AGGATTCCTACCCAAAATCCCTTCTCACGTTCATGGAACTAAGGATATACAGAGTTCCAACGCTCTCTTCGTCCTCTTTTGAGGAAAAATCCAAAGGGAAACGAGCATTTAAATCTTCCATTGCACGCTGGATCAAGCAGGCTATCTATAATGCCTATCGTGCCAATAAAATTCCTCTGCCATCCTTTTTCAATGCGCATTGTACAAGAGCCTTGGCAAACTCCTGGGCAGAGCGAGCAGGTGCTAATCCTGAGCAGATTTACAAGGTGGCTACATAGACTAGTTATTCTGCTTTTTCAGCATTACCGCCTGGATCTTCTGTCCAGTCAGGATCAGGCTTTTGGAAGGAAAGTGCCACAGGCGGTGGTCCCTCCCTAATCTGGTAAGTCCTTGTTTATCCCCTGGCGAGCTGTCCTGGAAGACGACCGGGGAAAACTGAAGTTAGAACTTACCGGTAACTCTATTTCCAGTAGTCTTCTAGGACAGCTGGATTCCCACCCCCTTTGTTGTTAATGTTTTATCATTTTTTGTTGTGTGGTGAAATTGTTTTCTCTGCTCTTTTTTTAGTGCTGTCCTTCAGTTCTCGAAGTTATTGAAGTGGGATTCTGGAAGACGGTCTTTTATTTCTCTACGGTGACGTGTTTCCTGGCTGGGAGGAGGAGCCTCTGTCTCTCACGGGCTTCACTTCATGTACTGGACAGAAACTTAGAGGAAACATCCTTACCTACTTTTCTGCTAAAAACGTACAATTTGTATTTCCCGTACTTATTGTCCCCGTAACAGATAAGTAATGACAGCTAATAAGTTCCTGATGGAGACAAAGATAGTACTAACAACATGAGCAAAGTTTCCCTTTCCTATTCTATCCAAAATCAAAAAGTGCACTCCACTTGTGCAAACAATGAGCATTGTTATTATTTTAAATGTGTGTAAAATACATTGGATTGCTGGTTAGCATAGTTTATGTAATAGTTTATTTAATATATTTTTAAAGCTAAAATAGGTACATGCAAGGTTTCCAGTTTAACTAGAAATATTCTTCATAAAAATAGGTAAACGTAGTTCCCCACCACCAAATTCCCTTGCAGTTTCGACGTTCGGCTATTCACTCCAGCTCAGTACAGCTGATTTCAGCCATACATCGGCTGAAATCAGCCGTACATCGGCTGCACTTCGATGAGCCAAACATGCTCTGCATGTTCGGCTGAGCAGAAGTGCAGAAGGACTTCGACTCAGCTGATCCAACATCTGGATCGGCTAAGCCAAAGCTCCAGCAGCTCACTAGCTGCCGTTCGCCTCTATTCACAACGGCAGTGAGTGAATAGCCGAATGCCACAGAGCGGCATTTGACTCGGCTATTCTGCTTGGTACCGCTGTGGTACTGAGCAGAATAGAAAATTAATGAAAATAGTATATATATATATATATA